AGAAGCTTCCACATGTCTCAACATTTTAAGAGACCAAACTATACACTACATATATAAATCTGATATCCCTAACATACCTGTCTGAAACTCAGCTCTTTCCCTTTCTTCTCTTTCCCTTTCTTTCTTTCATTGATCAAAATCTCGATGCCTTACTTCTTCTCTACACTTTTCAAGATTAGATATACTATATGTAAGATTGGATGACACTTTTTCCTCAAAGATTACGTGCATCTATTAAATAATTGGTAACAACCTTTCACAAAAAAAATATTGTGTCTTGTTCAAAAGGTATATTTGTTACGTTTTTCTTTAAATGGTGTGAATGAGAAATGGAAGAGGCATCTTTTGGATTGCACCTCTCCATATCATCCTTCCTTTGTCTATAAATTTAGAGGCTTGGCCTTAATTTTTACACATGAAAAATCTGAAAACTTCTCTCCTCTTTTCTGCATTGTTGCATTGTTTTCCAAATAAATAAAGTGTCAGGTGTGATTTGCTCTATTGTTGAGTTCATTGAAGTTCTGTAATTTTGATTGTCAGTATTACAGAATAGTTTTTTTCATTCTATCATGGGGGGAAGTAATCCATAACCTTGGGCAACAATGAGGGGATTAAATTTCTTAAGGATACACAAGCAACTTGTGCGCTAGAAATTATTTTACGATTTGTTTGTTAGAACTAATGTGTCTTTTTCTTATGATTTTCTGGTTTCGAACACGGATTTCTAACAAGCTTAAGGAATTTATTGCCAACTTTCTTCTGAAATCATCTTTGGGTGTTTTGTCTTGACCATCTTCATGAAAGTTCGTCTAATCTCGTGAAGATATCACTTCAGTTTTCCTTTTTTTTTCCTTTTATTTTAAGTCCATAAATGCAATTCTTCAACGTTGAATTTGGATTTTATGGACCCATTTGTTATTTGCTTTTGCTCCACGACAATTCATATCATCCACAATGACAGTAAACATCTTGCACTTAAACAACATGAGATTAACTTTCAACAAATAGCAACAATAACTTCTCTATTTTTGCTATTGTTTAACCAAAAGTGGAATTTCGGTTAAAGCCTTAATTTAGAAGAACTCGGGTTACTGATAATCAAAGAATGAATAAAGGAAAGTGATTTTGCCAACAATAAGATAATTAGAAGAAAACAAAGTAAACCAATATATCCAGATAATATTTCGTGTCCTTACAAATGATCCATTCTCTTCCTTTTATAGCTATCTCCAAGTTATACGTTATGCCTTTGTCATAATAAGGCCATTATAGATAATTAAAGGCATTAAATGCTACGTTACATAATCATTGGGATTCAATACAGATTCTCTAACGTTTTTAGTATTTAATGCTTATTAAATACTGTATCTATACTCTCTTGTGCTGTCAGATTCATTCTCCTTGATTTTTGAATTAAATAGGTACGAGCGTTGAGTCTTCTGAATAACCGCTCGTGTCTCTTCATGTGTCTCTACTCGTATTTGTTGCAACTCGTACCTCTTTGTCAATCATAACTCTTTGAACAGTCTACGTGTCATGACACGTCATCTTCCAATTACTTTAATATGTAAACTCAATTTTTCCCAATATAGATAGTCCCCCCACTTGTAATTTATTCATCAATTGAATATTTGGGAAGTGAAATTCATTAAAACGAGAATTTTTGTCACCATTAATGCTATAGCAGAATCAACGCTTCATTTGTCACTTCCATTTAATGCTCTTCACGCGTGGCACCCCTTTTATTGGTTCTGCAACTTTGCAGCGCTTTTTAGGGCTTTTTCACGGCTTCGCTAACCACGAAGCGTTAGTTCTCATTATGACTTTTACATCATTGCACCTTTTCTTTTGACGGTTGCTTCACAGTATAAATATAGTTTTCTTCTTTGTCTTTATCACATAAAGTTCACAAAATATTCAGTTCTTGAATCTTTGTTTGCTTCTTCCTCATACTATTATGTCTTCATCAAACCCTAACCCTAGAAGGGTCCCCATAGTTGATAACTTACCTAATGCCCCCAGTAGGAGCAGAAGAAGAGGTAGGCTTCGTAATTTAGGATCTTCATCCTAGCGTGGTTCTTCTCTTCCCTCACCTAGTTCTGGCCCTTCTTCTAGAACTAGAGGTTCTCTTTCACACAGATCTTCTTCTAGAGGTAAGGAATCTTCTGAACGTCTTCGTGAACCTCTAGTAGAGGAGATAGTTCCTGCGGAACTATCTTTCTATAATGACAAAGAATCTCTTAGAAATCAAGTATCTTCCTTAGATCGTGCTGATATCTATCCCACTCAAATCACTGAAGGTTTAATTTCTTTAGTTCGTAGAGACTGCCATTGGAGTCATGACTTTCCTATCATTATTCCCAATCCGAATCAAAGAATTACCTCTTACTTAACTGGTTTTTCCTTTGTCTATACATACCCTTTCACATTAGGATTCAAACCTGCTATTGATCCTGTTATTCTCGAGTTCGGTCGTTTCTTTGATGTTTGCTTAGGTCAAATTGGCCCAATAATATGGAGGGTTGTTGCTTGTTTGAGGCATTTGACCAACATAGCCAGTGTGCCTTTTGCTTCCCCACATCTAATTCATCTTTATTCTCCTAGACTCTTTCGCAATGGTATTTTTACACTAGTAGCCAGGAGCAAAAGAGTTCTAGTTAGCCCTGAAGATGACAAAGACCATGGCTGGTATTAGGAGTGGGCATAAAATCCGAAAAACCTAATTCCGAACCGAACCGAATTAATTCGGTATTTCGATTTTTTCGGTATTTCGGTCTAATTTGGTATTGCAATTTCGGTATTTCGGTACGGTCCTCAGTATTAGAAATTTTAAATTTTGGTATACCGAAATACCGAGTTTTTTAAATACATTTTCTTATTGCCCCATTCCACTGCCCCAGCCCAGCCCAGCCCATCGCCCCTGCCCACTCTAATAATTTTAATTGGAACTTCCCAGCGCCCCAGCCCATCGACCCAGCCCACTCTAAAGATTAGGGCTAATTCATTAGGGACTGGGGTCGAGCAGTACTGATAGTCAGATACTCAGAGTCTCAGATATAGTTGACTGAGTAGGCGATTAGGGCATTAGGCGATTTTCGAGCTCGATTCGATTCCTCAGTCCTCACTCCTCACTCCTCACTCTCACAAATTCCGGGCAAACGAAGACACTACTATTGCGAACTTGCGATAGTTTCAATTTTCGAAGGTATGCTTCTACTTGCTTTTTTTTTTTTGTTGTTGACTTGCTTTAGCAGATGAGTTAGACGTGAAGAGGATCCCTTATTTTGTTATTCATTTTTCTTTCTAAAACTAATGTCTTTTTTATATGTGTCAAAAGAAGTACAAAATCTAACTTATTGATCAGTGCAAGGTATACTTGGTAACTCCATTGAGTATGCTAGTTCTTATCAGCGTGCCGAAAGAGTAAAAACCCAAAAAAATAGAGAGTGTGTATGTTCTGAAATTGTGTTTCAAATATTTTAAAGAAAGTTGCTAGCGAAAATGGAAGGAATAAAGATCATTCCTTCCTTGGTGTTTTGAAGAGAAATCCTAGTTTTTCCTGTACCTTATAGTCAGAATATGAGCTCTAATTGACTTGCACGTTCAAGACTTTCTGGGGTTCATTATTTTAGAAACTTTGGTAGCACTTGTAGGGACTAGGGAGAAGCAGAAACATGGTAGTTGAAGCTACTCATAACTAGTTTGAAATAACTAAAAGTGCACTCTCATATTTACATTCTCTCAACATTACTGATAGCAAGGTAGTTAATTTGTTGATTGTTAATTTATGTTTATATTTGTTTAATTTTGTATAGATGGCAGATACAAGTAACCTAAGTGATGTTGGTTCAAGTGAAAGTTTACCTATTAAGGTAGATAGTAACACCAACACCATTGGTACTCAAAATTCTAAGGAAAGGAAAGCCATGCAACCTAGGTCTGACGTTTGGAACCATTTTGATAAATTTGAGGTTAATGGGGTTGGAAAAGCACGGTGTCGATATTGTAAACAAGCTTATGCTGCTAATTCATCTAAGAATGGAACAACAGGATTGAAAAATCATTTGCTTAGATGCAAAGAATACCCACTTAACATTGCTAAAGATAATAGTCAAACAAAGATAAATTTTCAATCTTGCCAAAATGATGAAGGATGGCCTTAATTGAGATGATAGTTATTGATGAACTACCATTTAGCTTTGTAGAAAATGAAGGCTTTATGAAGTTTATGAGAAAAACTCAACCACTATTTCGTCTTCCTTCTCGTAGAACAATAACAAGGGATTGTTATAAAGTTTACGGTGAATTGAGGCAAAATCTAAGAAGTTCTTTTAGAGAAGCACAACCAAAAATTTGCCTCACAACAGACACATGGACTTCATTACAAAGAATAAATTATATGTGTTTGACAACCCACTTTATTGATAGGGATTGGAAGTTGCATAAAAGAATACTAATTTTTTGCCCTANGAGCAAATGAAAGAAAAGTTCAAGAAGTATTGGGGTGAGCCTGAAAAGATGAATAAAATAATTTTTATTGCTTCCGTCTTGGATCCACGTAACAAATTTGAATATGTTGAGGGAGCACTTGAAGGACTTTTTGGGGAGGAAAAAGGGAAGAAAATAAATGTTGAGGTGTATGCTTATATGAATTCTTTGTTTGGAGAGTATCTAAAAAAATATTCAACCAAATCTTGTCCTTAATCTCCATCTAGTTCTACTTCATCAAACAACACATCTAATACATCTAGTGGGAGTGTTATAAATGCATCAAAAATAAGGACTAATCTTAGCTTGAAGAAACGAAAGGAAGACAATGGAAGTGGGGGTGCTAAATCGGAGTTGGATAAATACATTAGTGAAGAACAAGAGCCTTTTAGTGAAGAATTTGATATCTTGAGTTGGTGGAAAACACATGCTCCTAGATTTCCTATTCTTTCGGAGTTGGCTCGTGATGTGTTGGCCATTCCAATTTCTAGTGTGGCGTTGGAATGCGTATTTAGCATTGGTGGCCGTATTCTTGATTCATTTAGGAGTTCATTGACTCCTAAATGTGTGCAAGCTCTTATTTGTGTTCAAGATTGGCTTAGAGAAGAGAAGAATCCTATTAGTGTTGAAGAAGACTTGAAGTATCTTGAGGAACTCGAGCTTGGTAAGCTTTAATATTTTGTGCGTATTTTAGTTCAAAATAATATATCATGCTTTTTCATTTGTATGACATATTTGGTCGTATTATCTTTAGATATGGAAAATAATGGAAGCACTACTAGCATTGTTTGATGTATAGTTGCAACTTGCATCTTGAGTGGTAAGTTTAATACTCTATTTGTTTGGTGATATACTTAATACTTTTGCAATTTTGTTTTATTATCATCAAAATATAATATTCTAACTTATGATTTATATTTTTTTTAGGTTCAAGTGCAATCATGTCTCCTAAAGTACGCTCCGATATTTGGGAACACTTTGAGGTGAAAGAAGATAATGGACAAGTTCGCAAAGTAGAGTGCAAGCATTGTGGTCAAGTCTATAATGTTAATCCAAAGAGGAATGGAACAATTGGTTTAAGGAAGCATATTAAGCGTTGTCTTGCGCGTCTTCCTGGAATTCGTATTTAAGAATTAAGACTATTTGTTGAGGGATGCCCTCTCTGTTTTTGTTGCACTATGTTTAAGTGTTAAGACTATTAAGACTGTTGTAGTTGGCCAGTTGCACTGTGTTTAAGTGTTAAGACTGTTTTTGTTGCACTGTGTTTAAGTGTTAAGTGTTAAGTTGCGTAATGTGTAGTTGTGTACAGATTCAATTGTGTACTGCGTTAAGTGTTAAGTTGTGTAATGTGCAGTTGGCCAGTTGATTGCACTGTGTTTAAGTTGTTTAATATAGTTGTGTAATGTGTAGTTGTGTACAGATTCAATTTGATTCTTTCAGCTTTCGCTTTTCAATTTGATTCAATTTTGATATACTGGCGTGTAGATTGTAAAGAATTGTTCAGCTTTTGCTTTTCACTTATTCAGTTTTGTATGTGCATTGTACTTATATATAAGAACAGATTCTTTCACAGTGAAAGTTTCAATTGTGCATGTGCACTGTTAGCAATTTAGCATTGATTATTCATTGATTATTAAACCGAAACTGTACCGAACCAAAATAAGAAATACCGAACCGTACCGAAATATTTTGGTATGGTATTTGGTATACATAATTGATAAACCGAATACCAAAATACCAAACCGAAATTCTTAAATACCGAACCGAAATACCGAATGCCCACCCCTAGCTGGTATGCCAGGTTTGTTGCTGCCCCCACTATTGGTTTAGTGGGTGATGAGAACGTTCCCTTCCCTGAGAAGTGGAATTTTGCACGTGGGTCTTCTAATTTTCTCGTACCTTTTTCTTCAAATTTGTTGATTTTTCTAATTTTACTTTTCTTTTCTAGCAACCATGGGAGTTATGGAAGATGTTCCCAATTTCCGTGATTGGATAGGAAAGTTGTTGAGTATTGCACCAATGGATGGTAGATCTTGGAAGATTCTTTCCCAACATTTTGGTTGGAAAGTAAAAACTCATGGTAAGAGCTTTTATTTTATTTTACATATTATTTTTTCCAGAACTTATCTCAATCCTACTTTCTATCAGGATTTGCTTTTCAAGGAGTTACTGCTGAGGTGGTTGCGGCTTCTCGTATCTCTTTGGAAAGGGCTCAAGATATAATTCTGGGCTCTTCATCGAAAATAAAAGCCGTTGATGACCAAGATTGGGAAGAAGAGGAAGACGGGGGTTCCTTGGTAACAAGGCCACAGGCTCGTAGACGCATTATTTCCGACGATGAAGCAGAAGTGCCCCCTCTCCCCGCCGTTCTATTCCTATTACCGAATCTGTTGAAGCCTTGGTAGTGATCCCTGATAATGTTGATGATGCTCCCGCTGCTGCTCATGATTCTGTTGAGCAGCTTTTTGAACGCGGATTTGGCAATGAAAGTTTAGGTCTCGTTTCTGATGAAGCTCCCTTGGCTTCTTTTTATCCTCTCGTACCTGTGACTCCTACTTTGCCGATTACGGCTGCTTCCGTTCCTCCCCAGGCTGTTTTTACTACTTCTACTATTCCTCCTTCGTCAATTCCTCCCCCACCTGCTCACCGTGCTGAGGTTGGCTCCTCAAGTAGGAGTGGTGCTATGAGGCAAGTGATTATTGAAGTCCCCACTGAGGGCAACCTTTTAAGGAAATCGGGTCAAGCAGATGTATGGCTAAAGCCTTTAATTGGTCCTATTGAGAGGGCCAAGCTAGAGAGTCATAGTTCTTTGACTTTGATGAATGACATTGTGCATGCTTCTTTAAAGGTATTCCTTTTTTCTAACTTTTACTCTGTCATTTTTCTATCTTTGGGATTCTCATTTCCTTCCCTTTCCCCCTTTTTAGGCCAATCTCATCGGCACAGAGATGATGAAAAGGGTTACCCTCTCAGAGTAGTTAGTGCGTGATTACCAATTGGAGGCATATAATTGGAAGGAACAATATGAAAGTCTTCAGATCGACGTGGAGTACTTAGAAGAAAGTAAAAGTACCTTGGAGCAGCAGGTGCGGGCTTTGACTTCGGAATTGGAAGTTGAAAAGGCTTATTCTAGTCAAGCAGACAAGGAAAAGACTCATCTTGAAACTTCTTTTTCCGAGCAGCTTTCCAAGGAAAGTGAAGATATTAGAGAGTTGAAGGCTCTCTTAGACCCAAAAGAAGCCTATGCTAGTGAACTCGTGCAAAATTTGACTCAAGCCCAAGAAGATCTTCGGGTTTCTTCTGATAGGGTTTGTTCCTTAGAAAATTCCCACGCCTCTCTTCAAGCTTCTTATGAATTTGCCTTGGAAGAAAATGAAAAGCTAAAGAACGAAATCGCTGACTGGGAAAGAGATTATGAGATCCTTGAAGATAAGTCTGCCATTGAAGTGAGTTGGGCGTTTTTGAATTCTCGCCGTGATACCCTTGTTGAAGCTAGCTAAGAGAATTTTACTTGGAATCTGAGTTAGCTAAGATCAATGAAACTATTGAGAAGACTCAGCTGAACCAAGATTTTCCTTCTCCCGTGGTCGAAGCTTCCGCAATGTCGAAGATGATACTGGTATCCCCACTCCTTCAATCCAAGTTGAACCCACTGCTATTGATGTACCTACTTCAGTTCCTCCATCCTCTCAGTGACAAGTTTAAGTTCTTTGAATTCCTTTGTATCTCTTTTTTTCTTTTTGAAAAATTGTGATTAAAACCCTTGGTCTCATTTGAGGGTTTGTTTTGGAAACTTAAGTCCCCAGACCTTTTATGGGGCAATATTATAAACAATTTTCAGTTTATGACTAAGCTCATACTTAGTCTAAGCTTTTTAATATTAAGAAGTTTTTCGTTACTATTTGTACTTCTGTTTTGTTTATTCTTGCCTTTATTTATAAGGACTTACTGAATAACTTGCATTTTTACTCTTCAAAAAATGCTTCTGTTAACTTCATGAATACTTAAATTAATCATGAATTTTATAAAAGAGGACCCTTTTATATTCGACACTTAATGAAGAAGATGTCTCAACTTCATAACGGTGTTAATATACGATAAAAGAAATAGGAATACACATGTTTCTTGAAATAACTTTGACAAGTTTTTATTTGAACTTTGTCTAGTTTTGAATAACACTTTACATGTATTTGAATTACATCTATAACTTTCTCGTAACTGTTTTTCTTATAACAGATTTAAAAAAGAAAAATAAACACAAGGTTTTTATTTATAACCCGTTTCAGTACATTGCCTTTACCCTAGCTATGGTAAGGTCTTTCTTTAGGCTTAGCTCATGACTTTGCTCTGTACTTGACTCATTCATTGAATGAACTTTTCAGGCTTGACCTTTGATTATTCCCCAATCTTCTTTGCCTTCTTTATACACATGCATGTGTATATTATATAGTCCCCCAAGTGTTTGATCGTTGAAGTATGAAGCCTCGAGCACTTGATTGTTCCTCTCATTTGGTCTTTTCCCTGAAAAAGAAAAACATACGGGACTCGGAGGTGCGATTATAGATGAAGACTGCTTAGCCGTTTGAATTTCTATCAAAATAATTGTAACCCTAGACTGGAAAGTTTAATTTATTCCACGTGCCTTGGAAGTCGTGACTCATCATTTAGTACGAGCTAGCTTTTTGCTTATCATCTAAAATCGTTAGTAAAATTTAACAATTCAAAAATTAAATTTGAAAATACAGATACCTAACCGTGGGTATTTCTTAGAAATAGTATCTCTTCAAGTGAACATCATTCCAATGTGAAGGTAGTATCTTGCCATCCATTGTTTCCAGCTCGTATGCTCCTTTACCTGCAATATCATGAATCTTATAGGGTCCTTCCCATGTTGGACTTAATTTCCCTGCATTAGCTGCCTTCATAGATTGAAAAACCTTTTTGAGCACGAAGTCCCCAATTTTGAACAATCTAGACGTGCTTTTCGGTTGTAGTATCGTTCTATGACCTGCTTTTGTGTTGCCATTCTTATCAGTGCAGCTTTCCCTTTTCCTTCAAGTAGATCAAGATTTATGCGCATTTCTTCGTTATTAGACTCTTCTAATGCTTGTGTAAATCTTGTACTTGGCTCTCCTATCTCAACTGGAACTAAAGCTTCAGTTCCATAAACCAATAAAAATGGTGTTTCTCCTGTACTTGTTTTTGTTGTTGTGCGGTATGCCCATAAAATACCAGATAACACTTCTAGCCAATTACCTTTGGACTCCTCTAAGCGTTTCTTTAAATTGTTGATAATGATTTTGTTTGTTGACTCAGCTTGCCCATTACCCACCGAATTATAAGGTGTGGATGTAATTCTTTTGATCTACCAACTTTGAAAAAACTCTGTGATTTGCGTGCCTATAAATTGAGGGCCATTATCACACACAATTTCCTTTAGCACACCGAATTGACATATGATATTTCGCCAAATGAAATCTCTAACTTCTTTTTCTCGCACCTGTTTGAATGCTCATGCTTCCACCCATTTAGTAAAATAGTCAGTAAGTACAAGCAAGAATTTTACCTGTCCTTTTACTTGTAGTAGTAGACCCACGATATCCATTTCCCATTTCATAAATGGCCACGGTGCAATGACCGAATGTAATAACTCCGCAGGTCTATGCATGTTATTACCGTATCTTTGGCACTTATCACATTTAGCCACAAAATTTTCCGCTTCTTCTTCCATTTTAGGCCAGTAATAACCTGCCCTAATCATGGTTCTTACTAGTGATCTTCCTCCGGCATGATTTCCACAATGCCCCTCGTATATCTCTCTCATTACATATTCCGTCTGTGAAGGCCCGAGGCACCTTGCTAAGGGTCCACCGAACATTTTTCGATAAAGAGTGCCTTGCTTTAAACAATATCGAGCAGCCTTTTTCCGAAGCGCGTGAGCTTTTTT